TTTCCACATGCAAAGTTTCATTATATGATGCAATAGTATCAAGCATATAAAGATTGTCATAAACACATAATGAACCAATGCCAACATTATTTGAATTTAAAAAAAGATTGTATTTATTATTTCCAAAAGAACAAAAATAACCAGACTTGTCCAATTTTGAAATAGAAACCAAATTCCGTCGAAAAGACGGCACAACAAAAGTGTCTTTCAAATCCAAATAAAAACTAGTTCCTAATAACAATCTAAAATGCCCTATTGCTTCAACTTCCACCGATATTCCATTGCCCACATAGATGTATCTTTCACCATCACTTGGCTTTCGGTAGCTCAGGCAACCCTGCGTAGAAACACATGTGAGTAGTAGCACCAGAATCTAACCACCAAGTGTTTCTAGGTACTGAAGCTAAATTAACCTCACAACAGACCAAAGTAAAGAACATACATTTCTTGGCACGCCAAGCTTCATACTTGGTACATTCTTTCTTCTGATGTCCGGGCTTTCCACAAAAGAAACAACCTTTAGTTTCTTCATTGGGTTTCTTTTGCACCGGACCCTTACCAGTTTTATCCAACTTTCTCTTTATGCCCTTACGCTTTGAGTTACTTACAAAATGAGCACTTTCAGATCTCTCTTGCTTCATCCTCTCTTCTTCTTGCTCACAATACGAAATGAGCTCATTAAGAGTCCATTTCTCTTTTTGACAGTTATAACTTATAACTGATCTTAAATTGACCGAAATGTGCAGGAAGAGAGATCAACACCAAATGCACGAGTAAGTCATCAGACAACTCGAGCTTTAAAACCTTAAATTTAGAAGCAATGTTCGACATCTCCATGATGTACTCCCTTGCCATTATACTTCATGAAAATCAAGCTAGCTAAAAGCCTGCTTGTTTCCGACTTATCGTTTTTTTGCAAAATGCTTCTCAATTTCGGCAAGGAAATCTTTAGCCAAAGTTACTAATCTACACAGAGATGCAGGGCCGGCCCTGGCCCAGGGCGAGCAGGGCCCAGGCCCAGGGCCCACTTTTCAGTGGGGCCCAAAAAATATATATTTTTTGTTATTATTTTATAATTATTTTCTTTTCTCTTCTTCCAACCCATATTCTCTTCATCTTTTAACTTTTTAACCCCCACTTTCCACATTAATTTTTTTGACCCAATCTATCTTGTCATTTATTTCTCTCTATTTTTTTTTCACCCAACCTCTTACGTCCTCTTACCGTTTCTCTATCATGTAGATTGTTTTATTCTAATTTAATTTTTCTTGCACTCCGATATATTTCTCTATTGTTACTTTCTACAGTTTAAACTTAGTTGTTTTTTCTATGATATTGGTGTTTTTATTTCACAAAATTAAATTATGTTACTTTGTTAAATAAAAAAACTTTTTTCTAATACCCATTTTTATTTAATACATCCATATCTTACACACACACACACACACACATATATGTATATATATATATATATATATATATATATATGTGTGTGTGTGTGCGTACATTTAAAGAAAATTTGCAACTTAGGGCCTCGATTTTAAGTCTTGCCCAGGGCCTCCAATCACCCAGGACCGGCCCTGCAGAGATGT